TTTACAATCAGTCTTGCCGAACCGGGGGGGGGGGGGGACTTGCTGTTAGATAGGAAATGAGCATATTTCCTAAAAGGCTTTTTCTAGCAATAACCTAAGCCTATCAAGACCAGGAGGACCGCGCCGACCTAGCTCGGTTAAAATAAAAACTCCTAAAGATAATCTAGGAAGTCCAGAAGCATCGGATTAACTCAAAAGATAAAGGAGAATTTCTATATTCTTCGGAGAATAAGAAATATTTCCATATCGCAAATATGAAAATATTCACCAAAGAGGAAAAGGAAAAGGAGTTCAGAGCAACTTTATCCCTATAAATAAGAAGACCCTAAAGCTTAAGAGAGTAACACATACAATCGAGAGAGCAGCAGAGCTAAAACCAATAACTTCAACGCTTTCTAGTTTACTTCGCAAATACTTTCTTTTCATCTTGGCATAACCTCTCGGTTAAGTCATCTCTTGTAATTGTTTCGCTTACAGCTATTAATAAAAAATCTAATTGTCCGAAATCCACAACTATTAATCAAATCTTTAATGGTAATTTTCTGATTCTAACACTATTAAAAATTTAAATTTAATGCACAAAAAGGTTTTAAGTTTCTCTCCACGAGATCTCTAACTGTCCTTGTAAAATATCTATTTGAAACATTGTTTTAAGAGGGAAGACACGATATATGCCGTCTCGTTTTCCAAACCAATTAATGGGGAGCAATTCATTATTTTAACAGTTGAGGGCTAAGAAAGAAGTTATAAACGGGCTATTTTTGCAAATAATTAAAGAGAAAGTATTTCCATGATCGGCGCTTAAATTACGGCAAGTTTCACGTAGCTAGCTATCAAGCATCAACGTGGGGTTGTTCAGCAGAAAAGTGGGTGATGATGATGCTTATCGTGGTTTCTGATAGGCGTACTTTACGATTAATGATAATTAATTTGACTTATATAATAGTGTAACAAAGTCGTCTTTTACGACTACTATTTAATACACCGTACAGATCACAACGTTTTGTTTGTCATGCTTTCTTTCTCATAATGACGTGGAAGATGTACGGGCCTCTGACTCTGATCCTCATCATTCAACACATCTGAAAGTTTTTTTTTTTTTTCTCAAGCAAACACAACACAATACATCTCATATACGTTTCTTTTTTCTTTCTTGCCAGCTATATCATTCTCTGTACTTATGTCTACGGAAAGTGCATTTATGATACTTACAGAATTGATTTTGAGTTTCCATTTTCTTGTTAAGAAAATAAGAAATGATTTTAAGTAAAAGTTTGTATCGTTTTGTCTGCGTAAGATCGTTGCCATTAGTTACTTAGAAATATTAGAAAATCGGCTCACCTCATATTAATTCGTCATAAAATTTAAAATTTGTTTATAAACATGTGCCGAGTGAATTTGCTGTCAACTTAATAAAGAAATTAAATCATTGTTTAAAAAATTTAAAAATTTAGAATATATAAAGTAAAAGTTCTCGAAAAGTTGTATTACTTGTAGTGTAAGCTTAAAATATATTTCTTTATTAATATACAGACATATATATATATATACGTGACTTATATATATATATATATTACGTAAAGATAGCATGGAAGAAGGGGATATTTTTTTTGACGTTTAAAGTTTTGTTGGTCCATCAAGGAGGTCTAACACTCTAAGCTCATCCGATGACTTACACTTCGTAATGGTCATTTAAGTACTAAGTTAAAATTAGATCGCATAAAAAGGGAACAACAAAAACAGAAATTTCGAATAACATGGTTAAAGAGTGAGAAGTTGTGCTCTCCTGGGATGAATAATCTTGAGCCTTAAGATAAAAACGGTGTTTCCGACTTATAACTTCTTGGATAATGAAACAAAAAACAAAAAAGAATAACATGGTTAAAGAACCGTGTACCATGTCCATACGTCGATACGACCAAAGAAAAGAAATGATGGGGTTTTGTATGTATAAGCAAGCTACATGATATGGGCCTGTTTTTTAGTGAAAGTAACTAACTACTTTAATAATTAATAGTACTCACATATTGTGTCAACTACTTTTTCCATTCCGAAACAACGTCGTTGTCTTTTCTTTCACTATATATGGTAATATGGGATTTGCATTCAATTAACTCGCGTGAAAGTGTAAGATATAATAATTTTGCTCAACAATTTCATAGCGATTATAAGTTTATAACAATATGACTTGTTTAGTGACTAATGATAACTTACTTAATCAAAATTATATGGCAAGTTGGTGTACGGATCACAATTAAAGCACTCACATGTAAGTGGTTAATTGGACCATTAACAACTCTAATATACTCTGATTATTATTTAACAAAAAAGTACTCTTTTTTTTTACAGCAACAAAAAAGGTACTCTAATATTATTGGGTTAATTTGTGAAATAATCATATTACATCATAAAATAAACAATATAACCATACTAATTTCATAATTAATTCAATAACTAAAAACCTTAAAATTTATCTATTTTATACTTCAAACAAAATTTATAAATACATTATTATAGTATACTATATCGATTTATATTACTATACTATACTATATATAAAATATTTATATCTTATGAATTGTATAGGAGTGAGGACAAAATGTAAAGTGACAAGTAAGGATAGGGGAGAAGACCGGAGGGGAAAGAAAGGGGAAAAAGAAGGAGTGAAAAAGAGAAAAGGGGACAGAAAGAAGAAAAAAGGAGGGAAGAAGAAAAAACAAGAAGGAAAGGAAAAAAATAGAAGAGGGATAATTTTGTATATATTGTAGAATATATACAAAATACTATAGCTATTGATTTTTATGGTTAGTTTATCTATTTTTCAGTTTAATATAGTCATATGACCCAATTTCTCAATATTATTCCCCTGTACAAAATATATATATTAATATAACTACTCTAAAATTTTCAACATACAGTTAACAAACTATATATCCAAAAGAAGTTACGTACTTACCAACAATCTACATACCAGTAAACCAATTGATACACCCATTTGCTTCCACATTCGCATTATGTAATATATTACTGAAAACATCAATTTTATTTGTTGTTGCTATGTCGCGCGTATGATATTTTACAATTATAAAGATCAGTATAATACAAGCATATAAACTTGATTATTGATGCTTAATGGAATAAGCATCTTGTAATATCTTTTATCTGTTATTATAACATTTACGTACGTACTCTTGATCGATACATTTTACCAAAGAAACGTGTCCCATTCTCAAAATATCTCTATATATATCTTGTCTTCGAGTGGTTTTCATTGCATCAGCGTATATTAGTGGGATTTGTGTAAATCACATTAACTATATATTTTCGTTACAAAAATATAATACTCCATTTAATTTAACAAGGTTTACAATGTATAATGTATGTATGCGTAATTTATGTTTATTTCCATCACAATTAGTCACTATGTATGTTTTAAATAATAATTTTCTGTTTTTTATACAAATTTTGGAGACTAGTGTGAGTTTTAATTCCAAATTCTATGGTTAGAAGAAAGAAAGAAAAAAACCGAAAAGTAATTGATGTATATTTTATAAAATTGATTTTTTTAATCATAGACGTAAATGTGGAAATTATGTTTGAAAAAATCGAGACTTAAACCAAATACTAGTATACAGCCGCGGCAATTGGGTAATACATATATACTTAACACTATATACTAATATACATCCAAATTTAAATTTGATAAATTGTTAAAAGTTTATTATATGCAGATAAATTTCTACAACTAGACGTATCCAATTTTTTTTATAATCAAAAGAACCCATAATATTAAAATTTGAATCGTTGACAAGTGACAGTGGACGTTAGTATTATAATCACCAGACTTTGGTTCTAACATAGAGTTGTTGAGACAACGCGATAAGTGGAGCAATCAAACCCGTTTTATGACTTTCAAAACGCGTAAGATACGCGGGACAAAGTACATATCAAAATTATGGTCACATTAAAAGATAACCACTTGGTCGTATATAGACATATCTACCGATCGATCCATAATTTATTTATTTAATCGACCGTACAGATCAGATCATTCATCATCAGCATCATCTCCCACTTTTCAAATCCAAGCTGTACTATATTGATCTCTTCCGAACGCAAGGTGACGCTATTTCTCTTCTTTCTCTCTTGTTCCTTTTAATATTACTTTTTATTATGATTTCCTCCGGGAATGATGTGATTATTTACCAGCTACTTTTGACTCATCATCATCAATTCGTTTTAAGAAAATATATTACTCTCTCACAATTTGGATTTTAAGTGGAGATAAAGAATATAAAAGATGTAGAACAAGAAGAAAAATAAGATTTCAAACTACACAATCTTTTTTTGTTTTAACCAAGAAGAACAGATTCGAAGTCCATAGTTTTCTAGGGACGAGGACTCTATAGATTCAATCAGTTGAGCTACCGGTTCTGGATATTATGACTAATATTAGGGACGAGGACTCTATTGTAACATAAAAATTTGTAAGAATAATGATTTTTTTTTTAAAGATTAATCTTTGTCATATATTATCTTTACGGATTTGATTAAACCAAATAAAGCAGTAATTACAAATGTGATTTAGATGTTGGACTAAAAAAATATGGACTTTTTGCTCAAAAAGCATTGATATGTAACTAATGCATAAAAATTCAACAAACAAAAACATTTCAATTTAAAAATAAAGGTAATATTAACGATTTTTTTCTTTTTCGAAGAAGGGTTTATTTGATGTTAAATAAACACTTTATAATGAACACAAGAAACAAGCCACACAAATGATTGAATTATGTAGCTCATAGATTAGGAACCATTTAGTGATCAAGTTTATTAAGATCCTTAGATATGTAACACAGTGAAACACCAATATATAGCCCATATATAAACGGGAGAATAAGCTCTATAAAGCATAACATGTGATTTATCAACGGGAGAATAGTCTTACCACAGATGTGTGTAATGTGTGTACATGTGGAGATGAAAATGCTACTCCATGACTAAACATGAGCCGGATCGCCATTTTCTGGTGGCGTGGAGGCGCCCTCCACAACCGCCTTCCGGCCTCTTTCTGATCGACTATTCTCTGCAAATTTAAGGCTACCTTCACGTAATCCTAGCCGCTTCTCTTCATCAGTCCACTCCGCAGCTTGGACGCCGACTGAAAGAGCGGCGCGAGACAAAAGGAACGATGCCGAAGATGGCCCCACAAGCAGCTTGGACGCCGACTGAGAAGAGCATCATGGCTAAAATAGATATAGGAAGTGAAGTAGCACGGCCGAGCCAAACACAAAAGAGACCACCAGAAGTTTGTTAAGACCCAAAGGGTCCATAACCTCCCTCTCATTCCAAAAAACCGAGCTGACATGTCAGATGCATAGCCACCAAGAGGACGAGCAAAGAAGTTAGCCATACCAAAGCTGGCTGCTATCATACCAGATGTATGAAGTTGAAGTTGAAACCTGGTACGTAAGACACAAGAAACGGATATCAGGCCACTTGTGATAAAAGAAACTTAGGTTCGAAAGAAAAATATTATATTTGTTAATGTAATTGGATCCAAACCTGTCGAAGAAATACTCTGAGATAACATTGTTGATGGTCATTTCGATTCCCATGGAAAATCCATAGAGAAGGAACAAGACATATGTTCTGTAGTTCATCACAGCATACCAAAACACCTGAAAGATGCAAAAACAAATAAATATAATGTTTTAAGTAAATGGGAATTCTTATTTTGATTCAAGATTTATTTGAACTTCTACATAGAATATCATGTATTGGCCAATCTTAGGAATGTTTTTGGGGTAACCGAATGTGATTTAACGGCCTCATATGACATATGTAAATATGAAATATATGCATTCAAAGAAATTAACCATCAGTTTCAATATAAATAAGGGCAAATCAGATTTTTAACTCTCAAACTAGAAACCACTAGCACTTTAAACCTTGACAATATTTCACTCTCAATTTAAACCATCAAAGTAATTAATCTAACATTGTTAACCATCTAAGTAGTTATCGAGTTTATCGAGTTTGTGCAGACAAAAGAATTAACGGCGCCGTTAACTTTTTGTTAAATGATGATGACATGGATTTATTTTTATATTTAATATAAAAGTAAAAGAAACATTCTAATTTTCAGAAAAAGAAAAAAATAACTAAATTGTTTTTCATTATTCATGTTGCTATCTTCGTCTATTAACCTACTTCGATTAGAGAATTCATTCTCAATTCTGTTCTTAAAATTCAAGATCTCGCTTAGTTTTAGATAATTATAACCCGAAATTTTTGAGGGTTTTATTAGAGTTTTCCATAGAATTTCCATCACATAGTTTCGAAATTGTGTGAGAATCTGAATCAGAAGTCGAGCTATTATCAGCGTTCATCACGGGAACTACAATTTCTGATTTGATTATGAAGGATCATTTTCTCTTTGATCTGGGTTCGAATTAAACATCCAATACACTCGATTGGCCTCCAAATTCATTGTTGAAGTTGAAAAAGCTATTAACTTTATCAATCAGATCTAAGCTTTTTTTTTTTGGTCAAACAATCAGATCTAAGCTTTTGATGTATAATCCCCGACGAACCAAGTTAACGATGCCATTGATAAAATTACGTGTACAACGAAATCATGAAGAACCATTCAGTATATGCGACTTCTTCATCTCCTGCTTAATTGTTCCTCCTATGCTGAAATTAATTAGTTTTCGAATCACTATCTTGGCCGCATTCGTTGAATTTGATTTCTTCTTCCTCAGTTTATCTTCCTTCTTCTTTGTACAAACCATCTCCCCAACCCAGCAACGCCTATTTTCTTTCTCCTCCGTCGCCTTCTTTAAAGAAGAAATAAAACGAATTTTCTATATTCTTAAAAATCATTATTTTAATAATTAAGTTATTAAAATCAATTTTTATATTAAAAATAAAAAGAAACCCAATTCACTATTCTGTAAAAATAAATATGATTGACAATTCTCTAACGGAGTTAACGGTTTCGTTAATTTTTTTGTCCGCACAAACTCGATGACTACTTAGATGGTTAAAAATGTTAGATTATTTACTTTGATGGTTTAAAGCGAGAGTGAAATATTGTTAAGGTTTAAAGTGCTAGTGGTTTCTAGTTTGAGGGTTAAAAATGCGATTTTCCCATATAAATAAACATGTAATTTATTTGTCTAAATACCTTAGAGAACTTGTCTTTGCTAACATCTCCTTTCTTCTGTAGAGTACTCAGGATTCCATCAGGAAGATCTTGTCCAAGAGTGAGGACAAGAATGCCCATAACAACCTGTAGAAACCCGGGGACGAAAAACGCGACCCTCCACGCCATAAAGGGAGTGGCTCCGGCGACTTTGATCACGTGGAAGACCATCGGCATGAGTAGCTGAGTCACGCCTCCTCCCATGTCCCCCCACCCGACGGCGCATCCATTGACTAGTCCGATGATCTTGCCGCTGAACATCACGCTCGTCCAATATTGACATGACACGAACGTGGCTAGACAAAAACCGATCATGAACCGGATGGCTAAATAGCCACCAGCGTCAGCCACAAAGGACATGCTGAACACTGTTGGAGCAGATAGCATCAGCAGAAACGCCGTACCGTATCTGTTTCATTTTGTTTATCATAATCACTCATTGATAATTGAAAATGGACGATTAAAATGAAGAATAAAAATGAGAGAATTTAATTTAGCCGGTGAAAACGATATGTATATATAGATCAGGATAATTATAACAAAAAAATGATTATTACTCTTTGTATCTTCCTATGATATGATATGTGAGTGTAATTATAGAAAACGTTTCATATTGGTGAATCCTAGTTCATCTAATGCATATGTTGATGTTCTAACATCATTTATATCAATTGATTCCATATATAAATATTAAACATAATAACTATACCTAGCCCCGAGCAAGTCACAAACAGCTCCCATAGCAAGTCTAGAGAAAATGGCGCCCGAAACTGAGGCAACTCCAGCGTTTCCGATATCATTTTTGGTCAAATCGAGGTTATCTCTGATGATGGGAACGAGAGGTGCCGCGGCAAACGTCGAGATGAAGCAAGTGAAGAAAGAGATCCATCCTAAGTGGAAAGCTCTCATGTGTGGTTTCGCAAATGAGAATGGTTTGAACACTTTTGCTCTATGTTCTAAGTCAACCGGCAAGGAAAACTTAGCCGTTGGATCATCCGATCGGACGGCTTGAGGCAAAGGACCATCTTTGTCTTCGACAGAGAATGAGAAGACTTGTTCCCTCGCCGTGACTCCATGCATGGAGGTCCCAATAGAGCCTTCTTCTTCATTATGGTAAGCCATTATTGTTCCCAAGAAATGGGAGAAGAGGACTCTCTTCTTGAGACACAACTTGGTTCTTGTTCTCAATTCTCACGCCTTTGCTTTTGCTTTTTTAGGTTTGTCGCTAATTTTTTTTCATACCATATATATATATATAACCGTAGAAATGTCGCATATTCGTTTGGAGTGATAGGAAATGAAGATTTGTTATTACAAGATTATTAATAGTTTATTAGATTTAGTCTATAAATAAGTTTCTTTTTATATACCGAGTTATATATATGTCTATAACAAAAGTAACACCAAGGTTCTAGAAGTGCCTGCCTAGTTAAAAGATTGATAGACCTATATAATAATTTATAATTGTAAATTAATTGGTTTACATACCTCTCGTTAATATCATAGAGGATGTAAAATTTTACAACTCTTTCATTTTGTTGCTAACTTAGATGATTGGTCGTTACCGTTGGTTGATTCTCTAAACGATTTATCGTTAAAGCCATATAAGCCGCAACCATATTATCAACTAGTCTTTTTTATTGTTTTTAGCGGGTACATCAGACTGATCGGCCATTTTTCATTATGTTGTTATTGTATGAATTGTGAAATATTTGGAAAAGGTAAAAGAGCACATAATTTTCGTTGATGCTATTGTATAAGGAATATCCAACTTTCGAAACAGAGTTAGGTAATGTAAGTTGGTCGTTGACAACATGACGTTGTAAATATATAATACAGTATATGTTTTTATGTATCATGCTGTTGGTGTTTTAATTATTTAGAATTGCAACTTGGTAGACCTCACGTACGAAGACATAACCAAATGTTAATCGTCAACTCGTAACAATGTTGTCATACCCATGTCTTACGATGAATTTGAATGGGAAATTCAGTGGCAAAAACAAGGAGATTCATTAGCTATCACATTGTACAAAATAAGTTAATATTTATATACATTTTATATACTCATATTCCATGATTAAAGTTATTAGACTTTTTTAAAAACATCGAATAATTCTTAACCGAAAAAGAAGAAGTAAAGAGTATCACCTTTTTACAACATATATACTAGTTGTGACCCTTTACCTAAACCTATTCATGTACTCTTTCTTGTGTTTTCAAAACAGTAGCATGATATTATTTATACCTAACACGGTCACATAAGTCTAAACAAGGATTATCTTCCACATCTTCTTTCAAACATCTATGTTATTGGCATTTAGAAGAAAATAAATAAAAGCTGCATATACAAATCTTAACACCACTCAAGCGCACAAAGAAATTGCTTGGATCATTCGCAAGAAGCTCTCTTCAGCTGCTATTTCATACCCTTTAGCACATAATTAGTGACAACGTATTGGTTGTAACTCCCTGTAGTTGAGTAGTAATTATTCTTACCATGTAATCTATTTTTTCTGTATATCCTTTTTGTGAATTTCACAATCCATAATTTATAATATTAGATATGTGTATGTACCCACTACAAAAGCGTATTTAGGGTTGTCGTACGATAACGTAGTTTTGGTGCGTACGGCACTCGCATGTTGAACGTCATCTTGTTGCTTCGCCTTTAGGCCTCTTCTGTCCTCTCTTGTTGACTTATTATTTTTTAGTAACATTTTCCGTTTGGATGGTAATATTTATTATTATATTTGATTGCTACATTTTACCAAAGATACCACATTATACATTGAATATATTGCATGCAAATTATATACTTTGAATTGCAAAGTTTTCCAATAGATATTGATGACAACATAAATTTAATTACATTTTTGTTTGTTAGGAACTTAGAGCATCTTTCATCCAAAAAAATTATAAAATAATGAAAAGCAAGAGAGAGAATGAAGAGCACCTCTTATTTAACTAGTTTGGAAAGCGACTTTCCTATTTTAAAGAACCTCATCTAATATATGACATTTTCTAATTGGTGTAAATTTCTTTTGATTAAAAAATTAATATATATTTTCTTTAAGAAATTTTGAGGTTTCCATGCGTTAGAGATAGTTTTAAGACTGTGAAGAGTTCTTTTCTTTTACTAAGCAGATGAGATTTATTTTGAAGAAAATAAATATGATTATAAGAGTTATAAAATTAAATAAGGAATAATTTAGAAATAAATTCGCATATAAGCGAACCCACGATGAATGGCGCAGTTCAGTCATATACGTGGGACGTTATTTTCTAGAATTAATTAACCAAAAAAAAAGAACAAACAGGAAGATAGTCAGAAACTCTTATCAAATGAAATTAAAACGATGAGTATTATAATGACCGTACAGATCAGGCGTCTCAATCTTTATCGCCACCAAATATAGGCTGTATATTCTAAATTAAGCCTATTTCTGTCCCATCAAACTTTCAAAAGCCAAACACTTTACTTATTTTATATTTCGTAAAGGGAAATAATTTACTTTTCTGACAATTTCTGTCAACTTTATGGGCAATTTTTAAAGTCAAAAGTCAAACCCTTCGTATAAATGCGTTCGATTAAAATAACTCTAATGAATATGTGGACAATATTTAAAAAGGTAAAATGATGCATTTAATTCTTAAATATTTGTAATTAGAAATTTATTTTCCAATTATCGTTTATATAGATTAAATCCTTAATTAATGTTGCATTTCATCAATTTTAATTGAGAAAAGCCAACACTAACTAAAAAAATAAAAAACATTAATATTAACTTTTTTTTTTGGTCAATAATATTAACTTTTCTCAGTTCAGTTATATAAAGTGAACACAAACTATAAGAATTAATTTGCCAACTTAAAATTTTGAGAATTAATCTGCACATTTACCAAAACTTAGGAAATTAAATTATCATTTTTCTTTTAGAAAATTTTGATTATTTTCATAAATCATAATTATTTATAAAATATCATTAAATACCTTTTTAATACTATTTTTATTATATTATATCTTTTCTGTCTAAATTTTTTATTAATATTTAATCTAAATTATAAAACTAATATAATTTTTTAAAAATAAAAAACATAAGCAGATATATGTATCTTTAAAAATTCATAAACAAGAATGAGTAATTTAGGAATTAGAAAACAATTTTTCTCTTTAAAAATTCTCTCTCAACATTTCTCTCTACTCCTCTCCTACGCCTTCGTCTCTGAATCTCCATCTCTCTTAGGGATTTCTGTCCGACAACCTTTACTTCGTTTATTTAGGAACGATTTGGTCGGTTACTGTCCGTTTGGAAGTTATCCGAGCGGTTTTTGTATTCTCTTCTCTCTCTTCTCACAAAAACCGCCATGGAAGAGTTATATAAACACTGTTCCTCTTCGATTCCAAATCACAAATCTCTTCCCCATGAGTGACAACCTACGCAAACGACTGCAGAATATTAATCTGGGCCTCAAAGATGCCCCAATTGCGTTACTTGTGTCGATTTGTGCCCAAGCGGCGCAAGCGAATCGGTTCGCGATTGTTGGTTGCTTAACGAATCCCAGGAAGCAAAACTTACGGGCTCTGATTGGGCAACTACCAAGATTATGGGGGATGAGCGATTCTGTTACAGGTAGGATTCTAAACTCAAGCAGGTTTCAATTCATCTTTCAATCTGAAGAAGCAATTAACTTAGTGCTCAGGCGTGGCCCGTGGTCTTTCAACGAGTGGATGCTCGTCACGCAGAAATGGAATCCAACAATTGATGACAACACTATGAAAATAATCCCATTTTGGGTTCAAATTCGTGGAATCCCCCTGCAGTTCCTAAATCGTCTTCTTGTGGAGTACATCGCAGAAAAATTGGGTGATGTCGTAGACATTGATTTCGATGAAGCAAATCATGTTCTCGACTATGTTCGAATAAAGCTTGACTGGAATGTCGAAACACCATTACGATTCCAACGGTTCTTTCAATTCACCCCTGGAGAGAACACGCCACTCAGATTCCATTATGAACGACTCATGAATTTCTGCATTAAGTGTGGAATTCTAACGCATGAAGCAAAAGACTGTCCTACATCCTCTTCCGGTCCTCATGATGATCCTGATGATGATAACAATGAAGACAATGACGAGCACAACAATACAGGCAATGCTGATCAAACTCCTACGGAGCCAAACCACATCCACAACACTACAATCAATACAATCACCATTTCTGAATCCTGTGATGAACCATCGTCAAACTCGCAACCGTTCGAAATCAGGGATGACAAGGACATGGTTTCTGAAACATGGCGCTATCTACAAGCAAAAATGGATAAGGGGAAGTTCACTGAAGGCGACTTTACAACCATTCTCCGCGACTATGCCGATCAACAAGAAAATTCAGGATTTGACTCAACCAAACGCAACAAAGTGGAAGCGATGCTACGCTTTTATGATAACGATGAATCAAGCTTCATGATGGATTATTATCACAGAGGCATCACGGATGAATCCCCACCAAGGATGCCAGGAGTCATGAATCAAGGTGTTTCGTTTTATGACCAATTCTCTGAAATGTCGTCCGAGTTTGATGCTTTTGTTTGTAAAAAAACAGAGGCGGCTCCTACCCCTGCCAAGTCATTCAAACGCAAGTTGGATAATGGTAACCCG